AAAAAACGCAGTTTTAAGTTAAAGATGTTCTTAAGAATAGTTTCGTAAATTTTGCATACCTGCTTTTGCTTCTTCAGTTGAGGCTCATCGCGATCACGAAGCGCTGCAACATCCTTGTGCTTTCGTGCCAAAGCATTGGAATCAACATTCGTCTTGCTTTGGCTATCTGCAGCTCGACTGACAGACGACGAAGAAGGTATATTCGACTGGGATGGAGGCTGACGTCTGGCTGCTTCAGATGTGGCATTTTCTTGCTTACTGCCACTACTGGTACTCTTCTGAGGCTGCAAGGGTTTACTTCTTTCACTTCTCTCTTTTGACACCAAGTCTTCTTTCCGATCTGTGTCCTGCCGGCGCTCTTCTGTAAACCTTTCACGGCTACTATCTCTTTCTTTCTTCTTGCTAGAATGCTCTCTATGTTTCCGCTCGGATCTTTCGCGACTTTTATGCCTATGTTTTTCACTCCTTTCTTGACTTCTATCGCGTTTCCGGCTTTCATGAGCTTCTCCTCGATTTTTCTCGTGATGTTTCTCATCATGTTTCCTTTCATCACGCCTCCTTTCCTCTCGTTCGTCATACATCCTAGACTTGTGCTCCTCTTTCTTCTTGTGGCTATCGCTTTCTGATTCTCTTCGTTCATCCTTGATGTCTTCACGGTTTTCGCGTTTAACGTCTTTGTCCACAATAGCCTCTTCTCGATGTCTGCGATCATCCTCTTCGTCCTGAAAAAGTACCGAATTTTATGTATCTGAACTCGACTAGCTCAGAAAATCTGAATACTTACTCTAGAACGCGAAATCGCCTCTCTATCGAAGTCCTCCTTATGATCACTAGCCTCTCCCTTATCTCGCTTATGCTTTTTCTCCTTCTTTCGTTTTTCCTTCTTCTCTTTCTTTTCCTTCTTCCGCTTGTGACGATGTTTTGACTCACTACCGCCTTCGTCTTCACCTTCCCTTCAAAAACCAAACATGCATACTGACAGAAAGTTACAGAGCCAACAAACACCTTACCTGCTTCGCTTATGTTTCTTATGCTTTTTGTGCTTCTTATCTTTCTTTCTTGAGCTTTTCTCCTGCTCCTCCTCCTCCTCTACGTGTTCTTCTAGTGTATCCTT